ACAGTTAGATCGTTTTGCCACAGGTGAGGTATGATGTGAACCGAGGATAAGGGGGACCCCAAGACAATAGAACCTGAGGTGAAACATGACTACGAGGGGTGTATAGGCATGTGGAGATGGGAAAGTGGAGCTAGACAGGTGCTTGACTGCAAGCAGTTGCACAAATGGGGCGAACTGAAAATGCCAATCAAAGGGTTTGCTGAAGGAGAGACAAAAAGGAATTCGTAGGAAGGAGCATGGAATTTATGAAGGCTATTAGTTAGTAGCAAATATAGTCATAATAGTCGCAAAGATTATTGATAATTGATTGATAATTGATATTTGAATATTTCATGACCTTGGACAGGGTACATGCACAAGGCAATGTCAGGAAATACAACAGTACATAACAATGTGAGGTATTCACAATTTTCAGATTGAAGAATCACACAGTACAGGAATGGGACAGTAAGTTTGTGTGGCGTTTAAGTGAACCAAAGTGGTGATGGTTAAAGCTGGAATTGGGGAGGGCTGTGTGGAAGGCTAGTCAGAAGGGGGAATGCTGATATAAGCGACGCTGGAGAATGTTAAAAAGTGCAGTGGTCGCAAGGACCAGAAAAACAATAGGTCGGATATCACAACATGGACAGCAAATTAAAGCAGGAGCAGTAAACGGTATGCCTTATGGGTGTCGAAAGCTGGCCATGATGGGTCACTGCATCCAAAAAAGGACTCCAGGGTGTACCAACCGGATAACTGGACGGTCACTTACCATTAATGGGGCGGAAGAGATGCCAAAGATCATGGGTAAAAGTAAAGTACGCATGGGGCTTTCAACGTGCAGTCAGAGATGCCAGCCAAATATAGAACACTGGTCCAGCTTCGGGTAACTAATTGTGGAGGAAGCATGTGAAATTAAGGCAAATGAGTGAAATGTGATAACAAGACAGGCCTTTTGTGCAGGTGATTTGGTGTCGTATGGAAAGTCACACGAAAGCGAAAAAATTCACGAGGAATACAGTGAACGTTTAAAGGGCATGAATGGTGTATGGACGCCGAAAGGACTTTAAAAGAAAAGCCTTCACAGAAGCAGACTAGTGGAGGAAAACACTGCTGATGCGGCTGAGAAGTTGGAAGAGCGCGAAGATAAAAATGTTTGTATCTGTGATAAAAGAGTTATCAGCCAAGTTCTTGTTGGCTGCAGATGGCTGGTATTCTGTTTCATAAAGACCTTGGTTGCAGGTGATGGCGGAGAGAATGGTGAAGGTAGCGGGCGAAAAGTGGGTAGTTTGGCGAAGTGCGCAGAATAGGTTGAGAAAGCAGTAGCGAGGGCTGGGTTCCGGACATTGGTTTGGTACTGCAACGCGGAATGAATGGAACTGTTGAAATGGAGTACTGGAAATGGACGATGAGCGCGTGTGGGGTGACGTTTGGTGTCAGGAATCAGCTCCACGATCTGGCGAGACCTTCATGAGGGTTTGTTACTCTGGTTATAGGATTATGGCCAGTTGTGTACTGTGCCCTCATAACGTCAGCAGGCGGGAAAATAAGTTTAGACCGTTGTCAATCCGGTTGATCGAAATCGTCTAGTCAGGCAGTACCGCCGAGTTCGACTGCCAGTTCTGACTTGGTGAATGGACATGAGTATGAATGGGACTGATGATTAAAAAGATAGCGAATAAGTGTGCAAACGGTGGTGGAGCGATTACCGTGGCAATAGGGACGAGATGGTAAGCTGTACATACGATAGATGGGAATGGAAAGTGGTTAGAGCAATGAAAAAATCGGTAGGTGAGCCTAACGTGGTTGAGCGGGGGCGACGAAAGCATGTAATCCGCAGACCTTTATGTTGAGAGCGGTACAGCTATGACAGTGGGAGCGTTAGGGTGATGACGACTGTGAAGAGCAGTTCTCGAAGAAGGGAAGGTGAAGGAAGGGCTCAAAGAGAACATGTTGGAATGGATCTGGTAACCAGATTATTGCAGGTGAGACACATGGTGACGGTCGAGAAAGAAACGAGCTTTACCAAAGGGGCGTACATTGTTCGGCGAGAAGATGATGGCGATGAAAGTAACTGGGCAGCTCAGGACGAATATAGATACAAGGTAACTAAAAGGCGAGACCGTCTGTGGTGCGAAGATGCAGCAGCTGTTATGGTGAACAGTGTAGAAGAGAAATAAGCACGTGGAGTACCATAGGAATCGGGTATTGGCAGGTCAAGCGGATTGAAACTTCAAGTGGAAATTGTGAAGTAGAGATGCATTTTCATTGGGTGGAACGTGAAAGAGCAGAGCTATCTCGAAGGTGGACAGAAAATGCCTGTGGCAAGCAACACACGAAGGAAGAGGTAAGAGCGCGGACCGAAGAGACGATTGAGTCATGCCGAGTCAGATCTTTCTACTACATGTGACACACGGAGAAGGCTGAGTAGAAAGGAGTACCATGATTGGTGAACCTGTGGATAGGCACAAGGCACGAGAAATAAATGCGCTTTGAAGTTTAGGCAAAGGAGCTGGATAGCTGAGTGCTCGCAGTATATTATGCAAGTGGATGGAGCTGGAGGATGCTAATCGGGGCACTGCCCAACGGAAGACCCACACAGGAATCGCTTAGCCAGGCAAGGGTAGAGCAGCGCTGGTGATTGGGTAATAAATGTGGCTGTCAAAAGTGCAAAGTTTGAAACGGCTAGTTCTAGTATGAGAATCGGCCATGGGTGCGAGTGTGACTGGTGCGTGACGGCATTGAGCATGGAAGGGGAGGACGAGGGAGGACCTAACAGAACGGTAGGCAGTGAGGCGTAAAAGTTCGATCAGTGAGCTTTTTGAGCATAGGGTGATACCAAGTGAATAGAGACTACGAGCCGGCATTCATGAAACGGGCGAAAAAAGGAACATTGGCGGACGTCAGGAGAGTAAAGTGGGTAGGACGATAGTGACATGCAATAAGAAGTGACACGGTGAGAGTCGATAGGAACAAGGGTGGGGTAGGTAGGTGTGCATACCGTAGAGGAACGACAAAAAATGGAAGTGATGAAAGTGATGGCAAGAGTGATAAGTGGGCGCACCGTGGAGAAACAAGGATGGTAGTGGCATGCGATTTACAACTGACAGCGTTGGATGCGTGCAATCTTCAACCGGTGTCCGTGGATGGAGCTGACCATGCGCTGGGCACTCAACCTGAAAGGCACTTCGTGGATTCAACACAGGTGGCGGAATCTGCCGGCCTAATTGCGCTCGCTCTTCGTTGCAGACGACGTGCACGCCCGATGTGTGACGGCCAAATCGGGGGATCTAACCACGCTCCTCGCCATTGCGAGTGGCACGAGTGTTCTTTGATGAATTTGCGTGAGACATAGTTCAGCCATGAAAGTATATGATTCCCAGTCAGATGGTCAGGTCACGTGAGGTCTCGGAGGGCGCAACCAGCAGCATTACCCAGGCGCGTACATAACGGGAGAGATCTTCATGACTCTAGGGCAGCTGGCTATTCTTGAGGCAGTCAGAGTGTGCCCTGTTGTGGACTACCGGTAATGGAGGCAAATAAAAATAATAAAAGACGGAGCATAAGGATGTTTGGGACTACGAGAGAATGGGGAAGCACGGTGTGGGAAAATAGGGGTATTTCAATTTCGTTTACTCAGTGCGGAAACAGCCACATCTAGTAAAGCGTCGAAAATGTAGTCAGACAGATGAAACTGTCTATCGTCGATTGTTTCCTCAATGGGAGGGAGCACGGTCTGCGAAGGAGTTGGCTTTAGAATTCGAGGTCCTTCTCATTCGTTTTATCTCCAGCAAAGCATACATCGGATAGATGAAGTGCATGGGTGACGTTGAGATGTGGAATGAGTGCCGATAGAATTGGGACTTGAACAGAGAAGCTCGAATGGTGATGGGCAACTTATTCCAGAATTCAGAGTAGATAAGAAGGGAAGCGATGGATAGAGGGGATGGTATGAAGCTTGTAACGAATTTAGTAAGGGGATTCACACGAGAATCCTAATAAGTTAGGAGAAGACTGTTTATGGAGCTGGTTATGCAAGGAGACTAAAATTTGGCGCAAGCGGCGGAGCCATATTGGGTCAAGTTTCCTACGCATTCACTGTCCCCCATATTTGAAAGAATTGGCCGACCGAGTATTTGTATTGTTACCGACTTTGTAAGCCTTCAAATGCAACTCTGTCAAATTTCTTTTTTTGAAAATGAGCAAGCGCCCGTCTGGATGTGTTTAGTGAAGCACCGGTTAAGGACACAAGAACATGTGCATGGTGGTGAACATGCGTGTGTGTAATTTGAATGTGGTTTATATAAGCGTGTGTACGCGTGAACACGCAAGTGCCCATTGTGGATGCAAGTCAAGTTTTAACCGGATGAGACTAGTACGTTGATGACGAGTAAAAAAACCACACGTGGCAATTCTACGCATGGAACGTTGAGGGGAGGAATAAAGAGAGTGAATAGGAGATCAATGGAGTACATGAACAACGCCACACGAGTGCAAGCAGAACGAGTTGCGCTCCCCAATATGAACCGGACACAAAAGTGAGCCCCAGAAATAAGGTGGGATTCGGTCACACGGGATAGCTGGTTCTCGTAGTTGTCTTGAAAGAAAGTGCCAAAATTGTCTGTGTATTTTCGATAAAGTTGTTGTATTTTCAGATTCATTTTCGTGAAGTGACCGGACGAGATTCACGTAAGCTGCAATCCACTGCATATACGAAGCCAAAGTAATAACAATAATGAAGACAGCAGTGTTGCGTTAGCAACGAAAAACAAAATAAAAAAGCACTAAAATATTGTGAGATCGAAAGAAGACCGGTTACATGTTTCGGAAGCAAATATGGCCATTGTCGATGTCTAATTGGCCTACAGAAGAAGCGTTGTTTTCTTCGTGTGGTTAGATATCAATATCTGCTGGACAGCACTTGGACAAGTGACGAAGTAAAGAGGAACTGGTACTTGATAGATAGTAAACTCGAAAGATGCACACGAATAAAAACAATGAAATTGGCACAATTCAACAGTTTATTGGTCTTCCATATATGTGATGACGGTAACGGTATATGGTAAGGATGGTGGCACTGGTGCAGTTCTTTCGCAATTTGAGTACGCGTCCTCACCAAACTTGAAGTATTTGGCTGCTAGACGACCTTGACGTGCGGCTGAAGCCAACTCGCAGGCCTGCGTGAACAGATCACCTGCCATGTTCAAATTCAGCTTCAAACCAAAACCGCCAATAGAATACATTTCTGCCATTTGAGCGAGTATACGATAGGCAGGTACAAAATCCTCTGCCGCATCATATTGACCTTTAGCATCAAGACCCTCGTCAGGAGCCCCATCTCCCGGCGATGTAACACCTGCAGTGTCCACAGCTTTCTTGTACCATGAGATTGCTTCAACCCACGGATCTGAGGAGATCAGCGATACGGCATCTCGACTGGCGGAGGTCGACGCGGGCAACAGTCCTCCGGTCCCACCGTTTTACTCACTGCATACGCTGAGTCGAACAGACTGGCTGAGAAGTCCAGAAAGCGAGCGAGAAAAATCATACAACGGCGATCTCCACCTTCAGCTGCACGACCAAGATAGTCCACACCGGAACGAAGATCCCTTTGGTTAGGCTTAAGTGGGCAATCCAACATCAGTTGTGTGGGTAGACCCAGATAGTAATGCGCCACAACAATCATAGCATCCAGGCAACCTAGTTGTGCTGCAAAAAGTTCATGAAACAGTACTGCGGCCCATTCGATCGACTGACCCGAAAATCGTACCACCGATGAACCGTCGTCCCCACCTCCATTCGGACTTGGATGAGCAAAATTAGTCGGATTTTCCGGACAGTGACGGACAGCTTCGTCTTCGGAGTCGTCCAGATTGTGGTTCTTCAGTAATAGACCACCTAGTCCGGCGTGAGACCAACCTCCTTTGCAATTCGGCAAAAATAGTCCGGCCTCATGCAGGCACGCCAGTTCATGGTGTATCTGACCTAAAATGGAATGTCTGATTTCTTCGTCCAAATTAGTCGGATGGTCAGCACAGCTGAGTCAGTGGTTTTCATGCATGAGCTGATGCAGCGGATTTTCCGGTCACACGATAATCCTCGTCAAAATCCAAATCACTCGATTCGCTCAGATTAAGCCTAAGTCGTGGCACTACCGGGGCGACTCGTACGCCTGAGGCAAGAGGCCAACCGTGGTTCCAGTGACCCACACTAGCCCAGTTATTAGTCATTTCATCCCATCTGGTGTTGAGCATCGAATAGCTGCTGGTAGGCATGCTGAACTGATGCTGGAACATAGCGGGTGGTCCGATGGGGGATTCGGGTGTATAGTGATCCACGAGCAATGAAACTGAGCCCCCTGCAAGACCCGAATGAACCAGAGTGGAAGCGGTCGAAAAGTCAAAAGGTAGTGTTAGTCTCGGTGGAGATATTGGAATTGCCGCAGGTGTGACTGACGGTGAGTTAGCCATGTCCGAAAGCGCGAGAATCCCAGTCGCCGTCGAGGCAGCAACACCAGAAGTAGCACCAGTTGTGGTTGAACAGGAGAGTAAATTTATACGGCACGAGTACCCCAAGTCCCCGGATGTGGCTTGGTCCCTTGAACGACGTGGAATATGGACAGGAAACGGGTCGAGAGCGAGAACCGGACGTGGGAATTGTGTCTGACCTGAACAGGTTGCCAGAGGCGGTGTGAATGAGAAGTATCGTCGAGCCGAATCTGACGACTCTGAGAAATTCGGATCTAGTAGCATTGGTGCCATGGTATACGGTTTTAGCTTGGTGTACGGTCCAATAGATGCAGTTTCGTCACCATCTGAATCCACGAGATTGGACGGCGACGATCCGTTAAACAGAATAAATCCGGCTCTCGAGGACGGATGATCATCCGAGGAAAACGATAGGCTCTCTCTATTGCGTCCAAAAGGTTCATGTTTTCTGCACTTCTTTTTATGGTTGGTCCAAAGCGAATTCCGTGATTGGGAAGGTGCACATGAGACTGGCAGAAACTGACAGCACGACGCCTTGCACAGGGACCTCGAGGATGACTCACAGGATTTGGTACTGGTTTTCACGACCTCGCTCGAACTTCCATCCACATGAATTTTCTTCAACTTTGAATTCTCATCCTTCGGCGAAATACTGGCTTTAGAGACTGAGGGCTCCTCGCCATCTTCGTTGGTCTGAGTGTGAACACTGGGTTGGGGATACAACGGAGTATTTGTACCCAACTCGCTTGGTGCAAGATTGAAAGCAGTGGGACCCAACCACTCGCACAACGGATTACAGTGATGACTGTGAAGGAAGAAAGCCATCCCACGCGGACTAAAAGTCCCGTTGCTATAGCCCACTCCTTCTGCGGTGTGGATCTGGGGATCCGTGTAAAGATCACCCAAACCTTGAAGATCTACCACGAGCAATCGATGTCCTGAACGTTCAAATGTGAATTGATTAAAAGCCTGAGGCGAGTTACGCAGTTGTTCATCGACAAAATCAGAGTTACAATTGTACTTCCGGTACTCACCCTCCATGTATCACTCAATGTGATAGAAACAACCGGCCTTAATGGGCGCAGCAGGTGAGTCCCCTGCGCCACCGTCTCCCAGATTTTGTTCGTGCAGTCCGACACCACGTGATTCTAACACAGACAACTTGAAAATGTCCACTTTTTTCGGTGGATTCTTGCGATTGAAAGCCTCACCCCACAGTTTAGCCTCCATCTGTAGGGGTACGTCATCAAAATATACCTGATTATCCACAATGTTTATATAACATTTTGCCACACAATTTGGCGCGTATTGCCAATCATTTGCATGCATACAAAATTAAGGGAGTTTTTCAATCTGAAGCATTCTTGCATCGCCCTCGATCAAACGGGTTGCGTTTGATTTTGACCTGAATCCCGTCACCAACCCACTTTTTCTTGATCACATTATAACGATGGCTCACAGCAGTCTGTGCAGGAATGTGATGGGTTTGAAAATTAAGACGTGGATCCAGATCAACCGACTGCAAATTCTTCGGAGCGCCCTTCCACATTTGAGCTGGTCTTAACGTATTCGTCGCTTCCGCTTCAGAGCTTTTTGAATTTAACCCGGAGGAATAAGACATAAAATCTTCCTCAGCTTTGGTTTCATCAGGATACCCCATCGTTGCATCAAGTTGAAGAAATGCTTCCCGGGGTATATCAAGCTAGTCATCCGCTATCAAAGTAGCGCTGATACAGCAACTACGAGCAGTAGCTGTCGCGCGAGGTAGAGGGGATAACAGCGTGTCGGGTTCGAAGACTACGACCGTCCGTCGTCATATTAGAGAAGATTCTTGGACATTACTCAAGCAAGGGCCTGTTGCGAGATGCGTGACTGTCGTGGGAGGGCCAAAGTGCTACCGAAGGCTACTCGGTGCTTGATCCACCAGCGTGGTGCACCAGGACAAGCAGGACCATCAAAAATTTGTTTAAACAACCACTCATTATGGCTGGAGGCTTCATTGAAAGTCTTTTATCAGAGGTAAACTAAACTAAGGGCAAGGCCGAATTGCCGTCGAATTAGGCGATAATAGTGCAGAACCGTAGTATAGCTCCACAGCTTTTAGAATACTAGTATGATCTGTATGCGGTACAAACAGAAGGATGTATTGTCTGTTGTCTACCTATTGGTCCACAGGGCCGATGGGCAGAGAAAACTGAGAAAATAAATGTTCTGCGGCGAGCATCTAAGTTGAAGGATTAGACGAAGTTCATGAGTCGTCAATCCCGCGTTGCCAAAAGCCAACTTGGACATGTTGTAAGCGAGCATTTCGGGCTAGCGCGAACGGCATTAACAATGGCTAGAATTTTAGGGCTCGACTGTAACCGAATACAGTCTCTGGCCAGCATGCACACGATAAGTCCGGAGCCTAAGAGATTACCTGAATGAAAGCTATGCAACTCAGTTTACCAGTTACTGGATTGTCCGACCTTTCAGAGAATAAGTGTACCCAATCGGTGATCGTCGGTAAAAAACGGGGCTCTTTTTTGTGTGTTTACGTAACTCTCATTGAGTCTCTGGATGTCGCCTCAGGGTGACATGTGACCGGGATTGAAGGGTGGGTAATTATCACCCGTTACTACATGGCCACCGGAACAATAGGCCTACTCAGCCGGATGAACTCCCTTTGTTCTCTTCAACAGGACGTGATGATTTAAACCGGCTAGATCAGACGGCGTATCTGTCGACGTAGTAACACATAAGAAATTGAAGAGGGGCATGGCATTTTTGGACACGGGGTCGGATACTTCGCTGATGAAGAGCGAGAGCCTATAGAACAACGCGAACTAGTCGGTGAGCCTAGCCCTCTTACGGCCAGCAAAGTTGTAGGGAGTTATTTTACCGATTCGTTGGGGCTGGCCCTACAATTTCCGTATTTGCTTGATAAAGGGAAGGTGGAAATTCTAGAAGCCTCCGCAATAGACGGATTGCCAGTGAGACCAGTTGGCTCCACTAGATCAATCATCTAAAGATGGTCCCATCTGAAAAATCTGGCGTTCAAAGAAGTGTCTATCCTCCAAATTGGTATACTGGTTGAGTGCGTTGCACCAGATGCTCATCGGGTGCTTGAAATGAGCATAGGCAGAAAAAGTAACCATTTGCTACCCGGATGATACTCGGCTGGACAAATTCTGGGCTCCTGGAGAACGATGTTCCAAAATTAGCATCAGTGAAAGGCCCAGTGGTTGCTGAGAAACGTACCCGCGTAAAACGCAGCCCACTTCTTGGTATTGAATCCAGCTTTCTATCCTAGTAAGGTGAAGCTCAATAAAAAGAAGATCAATCGGTGCTCTCCGTGATGACTTCGAAGGCAAAAAGTCACGATACGCAGCACGGAGTTGCTCTACTCGAGCGACCAGCGTCCAACCTTTTATCAAGAAATGGGGAAATAGTCCAAAAGCTTTGGACTATCCTGAAAAGAGGCCACTTTGAGAACCTCAGTTGAAAATTGAATGCCAGCAGGTCACGCAAAGTAGTTTGGAATTAGTCGGCCCGGTACCAGTGTACGAAACATCGTTAGAACAGCGTGGCCGGCGGAGAAACAAAGCACCATTGGCCAGAGCAACAACTACTGAGCTGAAGTCAGTTTCCATAAGTTAACTCATAGTGAATGCATTATTTTTGGGTTTTGAGGTAGCTACAATGCTAAAGGAGATCAGTACCGCCACCGAACTGAGCTTTGCATATTGGGCTGATCCCACAGCTGTGTTACATTGCAGGAAACGGGAGGGGAACGAAGAGCGTGTTCGAAACATCGGAGAGTTTCATTGAGCCGTAGCAGGAAGCAGCAATTAAATTTCCGATGACCGGAACTCGGAGCTACATAAAACTTATTCCCGTGTCTCCCTGTTCAAACACTTATCCCGTTTATTGAGCTCCGGTAAATCCGCGTTCAGGGATTTGTGTCATCTTCTCTTCACATGCACCAATTTTCCCTAATATACTCCCATACAATTTTTTCTTTTTCTTCCTGTTCAGAACCCACTCTGTTCTCAGAAACACAGCAAGCCCCCTTTTCCCCATGGCTTGCGTCATTCTCGTTTATAGTGCATCTTTAGTACTATGTATCAAGGATCCTCTGAGTATCCCCACAGTGAACCATCGCCCAGCTCGAACTCGAAACCGGTTCAAAACTGCAGGGCAAACCACTATTACAACAATTCATTAAAACTATCACCGGATGTTTTTCCATCGCTGGCACCTTTGACCTTCATTCTTAAATTTTGTGGATATTTCATCTCACTGAGTAACGCGGTACATCGTGATCATGTGCTTGCGTGTGCTTCTCGACCACGGTCAAGAAGTATTCCATTATTATTATTATCATTATTACAAGGACCACCTAGTACCAGTTATTCAGAGTTTTACTCCATTTCATGCCTTACAACTATTCGACTCTACCCATTCTTCTTGAAAAGTTGCAAAAATGTGCTGATTTCCTTTTTTCACGCAACGTGCACAGGGGTTGAAAAGAAAGTTCGCCAAGATTTCACTTGGAAAGTTCAAGTGAGGCACGTTAGCTGAAATCGCCTTATGAAGTTATTCCAAATTGCGGGGAAGAATATTTATTCACATTTTACATAGTATGGTTTGTCATGCAGTATAAACGTGAAAAATCTCTGAAATACTTTGATAAGTGTCAGTATTTGATCAACTTCCGTGTTCTAGTGTTTTATTGCTCTCCGTCGCACACCCTATTTTCAAGGCGACTTCCACTCAGAAACCGATTTTCGGTTTCTTTAGGAAATTTGGTGTGGTAATTGTATTCGAGTTCACTGTTTTTTTAATTTTTATTTTAACGCGATATCTCACTGTCGACTGAACGTTGCATCTTCGTCCGATTTCTGCTCGCAAGTTTGTGAACAAAATTAGTTCGACCAGATGCCGCTATGGTTTCCTGCTTGAGATACGCAACCTAAGCTAATGCAAAAATATGTTCCATGCTGCGACGTTTGCTTTCTGATGGTGCTTCCAACTGTGGACTTCGTCTTCCGACGAATGTGCTAATCTCGAGTTGTGCGGTGGAATTCGGAGTAAACTCCCTACGGGTTGTGCAACCAACGACTTCGATGGAATCCCGTTTAGCAGGCAGCCAAAAAAAGGAGTTAGCAAAAGCAGGCTTCAACAGTAGGCTACAGGTCGGTATGGGGAGAATCATGATCCTACCCTGAACATTAGACACCTATTTTTGTGGTATTTATGACCTCGTCCGGGAGCCTATCACGATGAGGTATCATCATATTTCAGAAGTAATTTACCCTCACTTGGAGCCTTGTAAGCTTTATTTCCCAATCGAAGGCAAGGCCCCATTGTCCCTCTCTCTGGATTCGGAAATGAAAGGCCTCCTCGATTTATACCTGACAGTCTCTTCATAAACTTGAAGGTTTCCATCAAGTCCCCCGAAAGCACCGTCTTTTCACCGAAAACAGACCCAGGGCTCAGAGGCGCCATGTAGCTGATTCCCTCTTGCCCAGCCATCATACTGGTGCTTAGCCCGGATTCTTCTCGGAACAGTCTACATCCTTCAGCTAGCGCGACGCTCAGGTTTGCTTGCGCTACTCCAAGTCGTTTCACGCACCGCTATCGGCTTATTTTCCTCAGAACTATCTACGGTGGTCCGTAAATAACGGATTCTCGGATGTTCTTTACTCACAGGAGCTCGGGGAATTTTTCGAAACGGTAGACAGTAGGGCGACCAACAGACCTACAAACCCCAGTAGTTTTAGAACTACCAATCCGGGATGAGTACTGCATCATCAACACGTCTTACTTGATTTTTATAAAGGTTCCTTGTCGAATCACGCTAAAGTGTCTATCGCTTGCCCTCTCCACCAAGTGAATCGCTGGCTCCATCGTGAAAGCATTAAACGTCTCCGACTTTCTGCCACCCCTGTACCTTGATCGGTACCACTGATTATATATAAAGTGATGCCAGCAACGAAAACAACGCACTTCAACAAAAGCATTGTATCTAAAAAGGCAGTCGCACTACACGGATGATGCACTGGCCGTGTTTTCGCCACCTGCATGCATTGCTGCTACTTCAAACCCCCGAAAGCCTGAGGTTTACCGTCGGCTAATTACCTCCTGAACTCAGTTGCCTTCTAAGTCCATCGAAGGATAATAAAATTGAGAAATGCTGTAGACCCTAGAAGGTTCGGATAGTCAACCCCTTTCCCCAGTCAAATAATCACTGCTTCTAGTGGCGTGTCACACTGAGAGTACCCTCGCCTAATCCCCGGGAAAAGTCCGCGAAAAATAAGCGCTCTTCTGCTTCAATTGCTTGAAAAAAGAGTTGTCAACAGATTCATTAGAAATAGACTCCACCTCAAAGTCCACCTCATTTGAAAGCTTAAAAATTACTCTTTACAAGACCCTACTGCGCGGGGAGGTCGTTAGGTCGATGTCCGTCATATAATTACTGCCAAATCCCTTTGATCTGGTGCCACTCAATGCCCCCTAGCGAACCCACAGTCGATAATTTCCTACAATTTCCTTCTACACCCCAAATTGACCTGCGCTACACCGGGCCTCTATTTTCCCTAGGTTATGTTTGGTTTTTATGTTTATGAAGCTTATAAC